GATGGAGGAGACAGGTCCCTACCTCTGGGAGCTCCCAGTCTGATGGAGGAGACAGGTCCCTGACTCTGGGAGCTCCCAGTCTGATGGAGGAGACAAGGTCCCTACCTCTGGGAGCTCCCAGTCTGATGGAGGAGACATAATACGTAACTACTAGAAGCTTCCAGGTTTAATGGAGAGGCACGGTCTCCAATCTCAGGAAGCTCCTAGTCTGATGCTGGAGATTGTAGTCGCTCCACATCTGGGAATTCCCAATCTGAGAAAAGTCATTGTCCCTGACTTCTGGGAGCTCCCGGTCTGAAGGGAGACACGGTCCCAAAGAACTGGGAGCCCCCAGTCTGATGGAGGAGACATTCTACCTGATCAGCGGGAATTCCCAGTCTGATGGAGGGAGGAAGGCACAATCCCCGCCCCCTAGGAACTTCTGACCAGATGGAGAAGATGCTCCTATTTCACTCTGAGCAACCCTCAAATTCAAGGCCGCCTCCTTCAGTCTGAGGGGGAGGCATCTCCCGCCCAGGTCAGGTCGATGCTCCAGTCGGATGGGGACACAGGGCCCCTGTTGGGAGGCCCTGTCTGCAGAGGCGCCCCGCCCCGCCCCCTCTGCGCACTCACGGGCCACCTGCAGCTCCACCTCCAGGCTCTCAGTCTTGCCCTGCAGGGTCACGGTCTTGAGCGTGTAGCGGCCGGCGTCGGTGAGGTTCAGCTTCTGCACCAGCAGCGAGCAGTTGGCGAAGCCCACCTCCCGGCCCGTGTGGGCAGGGCCTGCGATCCAGTTCCCGGACGGCAGCTGGCTGAGCAGCCGGTTGGGCTCGGAGGCAGGCCCGCGGTACCAGGCATAGACCAGCAGGTCCTTGGGGTAGCCCTGCACCGTCAGGGTCACGTCCTGACCTTCTGTTGGCTTGCTCGGCACGGGCACAATCGACATGGCAACCACAGCCGCTGAGGAGAGAAGGAGCATGGGTTTGGGTCAGCAGGACCTGCGCGGGATGGCTGCAGACCCTCCTGCCCCCCAGCCGCCTCACGGTGCCTCCCCCGACTGGCTGGTGCTCCGTTAATGCGAGTGCTGGAGAGACAGAGGAAGGTGTGAGGTGGCAGCGGTCATGGGGGTGCTCGTCCTGGAAAGCCAATTGACTGGGAATTTCCTCGACTTTAGGAGATTGTGCTTCCCACCCCTTCAATGGAAAGACCCCAGGGAGTGGGGGTCATGTCTCCTCCATCAGATTGGAAAGTCCCCACTTACAGGGGCTGTGTCTCCCCTGTCAGGTGGGAAATTCCAGAATATGGGGGCCGTGTCTCCCCCATCTGATTATAAATACCCTAACTATGAGGGCTGTCTCCTCCATCAGATTGTAAAATCTCAGGCTATGAGGGTTCTGTATTTCCCATCAGATTGTGATTTAGGGGTGTCTCCTCTATCAGATTGTAAATTCTCAAGATATGAAAGATGTAGTCCTATAAGATTCTAGTTCTTCAGAATATCAGGGCTATGTCTCCATCAGATCACAAATTTTCAGAATCTGGAGCAACGTGTCTTCCTCCATCAAATGCTTGGAGTTGTGCACCATAGGCCGTGTCTCTCTGACAAACTTAAAGACTCCTGGAGGTGGGGGTCTGTTAGCTCCCCAAAAGAGAGAAAGGGAAGCCATGTCACCTCTATCAGATTAGAAAGTCCTACACAATGTAGGCTCAGTCTCCTCCATCAGATTGGAAATTTCCAGATTACTAGGGTAGGTCTCTCCAGTTAGACTAGGGGATGCCAGGAGATGGGGAGCACATGTCTTACCACATCAGACTGGGAATTCCTAGGGAAGAGGAGGTGCTGTGCTCCCCCATCAGATTGGGAGCACTACAAAGATGGGAACCCAGAGGGCTCAGTTCATTCCTTCCCCATTAGGCTAGGAATTCTCAAGACCGTGTCTCCCCGTCAGAATGGAAATTCTCCCAAAGTGGGGTCTGCATCTCCTCTGTCTGACTGAGAGCTCCCTGCGAGTGGCTGGCAGGCCTCCTCCATCACTCTCTGCCTCTTCTCTTTGACTGGCAGCTCCCTGAATAAGGGGCTGGGCTTCCTTCTGTGTCTCCTCCATCTGATTAGTGTCTCCTCCAAGTACAGGGGTTGGTGGCATCTCTGTTTCCTCTGTCTCTTCCTCAGCACCCAGCACGGGAGGCCCCCGGGGCATTGCGCCCACCCCTGCACGTACCTGCACACCTTGACACCCCCTCATCTATATAGACAGGGTGGGGGGGCAGAGCCTGCCTCCGGCCAAGGCTGGCTGCCAGGGCCCCAGGCTGGGCAGGGCTGGTACACTTACCTCTGAGGACACCATGTCTGCTTTGGGTGAAAGAGAATCCACCCTTTGGATGAGGCCCAGCCTGTGAGTGGGACAGAGGGGGGGGGACCGGGCCCACTGTCCCCGGGGTGCGTTGGTGACTTGGGAAGGAACTGGAATGAATGAGGCCCAAATGTTCAAAGCCACAGTCCTCAGGGAGTGAGAGAATGTCCTCTGAGGTTCCCAATGGTTCTGAAAGCACCAGCTGTGTCCCCACATCCCCTAGTCCCCTGGACAAGGCAGGACCAGTTCATGCCGGTTGGGATTTTTTTTTCCCTGCACCAAACCAAGCCCAGCCAGGATTTTCCTAGTATGTTTGCATGTCTGGACACTGTCACCTGCACTGGGGGACCGTGGGATCTGGGCTGCACGCCGCACCTTCATTGTGGCAGGGCCACCGGTGACAATTTAGATCATACCACACGCATGTGGGAAATCACAGGATTCGATTTGCCATTTGATTTCCAAGTGACTCCTTGCAGGGGTCCACCTGCAATACCCCTTTTGTCACTTGGCTGATGAAGGGGTTGCAAACCTCCCACCCCCACTGGCCAGTCATCACCTGTGCACAGGGGACAACCTAGCCATGATGGATTAAGTAGCCATCGAAACATTACAGTCCAGTGGGGGCTGCGGGTTGGGGGGGCGGTCCAGGAAGAGGGGGCAGACGTCAGGCATGGGACCGCTTACCAGAGAGCTTAACGACCACCGAGGCTGATCCAGAAAGCAGGGTCTTGGGGTTCTTTACAATACACGTGTAGGTGCCCTCCTGGGCGGCCGTCATGCTGGTGATGTTGAGACGGTCCTGGCCGTTTTTGAGCGCCCGTCCGTTAAAGGCCCACACGTACTCGGGCTCCGGGCAGGACCGGGACACGCACCACAGGGTCAGGGAAGTGTTGAAGTCCACCTTGATGGTGCAGCCCGTGCGGGTGGTGGAGTCCTGGAGGATGGCCACGCGCTCCGGGCCATCTGTGGGGGCGGGAGGGAGAGACAGGGGCAGTAGGGGGGGACAGTAATGGACATCCAGACTTTATCACTACTGGAATAATGTGGCCTCGGAGAGGGAGAGAGTCCCACATCGGCCTCCAACTTGCTCTAGGATCTTGGGGATCATTTCCCCTTGGGGGAGGGGCGGGAAGAGGACCCTACATTTTTTTTTTCTATAAAAGAAAAGGGGTCAGGGCCAGACAAAGCCTCGAGGCATTTGTGAAACTGCAGGCTTCGTAAGCAAGCAAGCAAATAAAAAGGCGAGCAGATTTTTTTTCTATCCGATAAGCCTTCCTAAGAATCTAGAATTCTAGGGCTGCCAGAGTGAGGCCACTAGGCTCTAGAAAGTTCTAGAAAGCTGGGTTCCTAAGATTCCAGAGTTAGGGAGTTTGTTGAGGTTCTAGGGGCCACTAAGATTCGCACGACCTAGATAATCGAAGCTTCTGGAAAGCAGAAGGCCACTGTCACGGGATTCTAAATTCTAGGATTATCTAAGTCATCGACCCTCAGGTACCTCTGTGGGTTTTCCCCCCTTACAAGTCCACTCTGTGTCTTCAGTCTCTGAGAATGGCTGGATATTTTGGTTACATTTTTAATTTTAGCCTTCCCCCAGCCTCCATGAGTGCATTCTTTCTCTCTCTCAGCCTCTCTTTTACACACACAGAGGCATACACACCCCAGTCACACACACACACGCACACACACACAGAGTCCCATCCCCCCAGTCAACACAACACACACCCTCACCGACACCCAGTACGTACACACACACACACACACACACACACACACACACACACACACGTCACTTGTACCCCTCTCTGATGGTTCAACAGCCTTCCCCCCCATACCCCCTAGGGTAGTAGTCTCACGAGAAAAACCAAAAAGATTTCCCCCCCCATTATGTTTTCCTTAAACGTAAGATTTGCTACCTTTGCTATGCTTAACTGCACTCACTAGTTATTCTCAGCGCCCCTGTTCTCCGTTCTGCCCCTCTCCCAGCCTTGCTGTCCCCCCATGGGGGCCTTTGCGGCCCGGGGCCTCGAACTCACAGTACACGGTCAGGTTGACAGGCTCGCTGCGGCTGACGCTGACGGGGTTGCTGACCTCGCACTGGTAAGCCCCGGCCTCCTCCCTGCGGACGCCGTGCCGCGTGAGCGTGCGGCCATCAGGGGACACCCCGAGGCGCATGGTGACCGGCAGGGCCTGGCCATTGAAGAACCAGCGGACCTCGGCTGGGCTGGGGCTGCCGCAGTGCAGGCGGAGCGTGTCCCTGTGCTCCACCAGGGCCATGCTGTTGTTGGCGGTGACCACCGGCGGCGCCAGGATCTCTGTGGAGGCGAGAGACGGAGGGGAGGGGGCCGGGCACCACCTGCTCCGAGGCCTCCCCCTCCCCCGCCAAGGGGCATGGCCAGATCCTGGCGAGACCCATGTGTCCCCTGCAGAGTGGGATGGATAGGTGCAGGACTAATCCTGGAAGCCATCCTGGAGGAGGTGAGCATTTTAAAAAATTAATTCTCATGTTTAGATTTTTTTTTTCTTTTTTAAGGAGTGGGAGTGAAGTGGACAGGTCTAACCGAGAAGGAGGGGAGTGTGGAGTGTTGAGGGGGGTGTCTCACCATAGACCCGTACGTGTCCGTAGCCCACCTCGGTCTGAAACTGCCTGTTGAGGGTCTGCAGGATGTAGGTACCCGAGTGCCCAGGCAAGGCGCCCTGGATGTCCAGGCTGGCGTCGGGGCGCACGGCCTCCCGGCCCGTGTGGGCTGGCCCGGGGGTCTCATCGCCGGTGCTCACAATGTAGCTGGCCACCAGGTAGGTCAGGCTGAGCGCTGGCCCCGCGTACCAGTTGTAAGCGAGCAGCTCCCCGGAGAGACCTCGGACGACCAGCGTGAGGTTGTCCCCCTCCGCTGGTTCGGCGGGCTCTGGGGTGATGGTGATTTCTGCCCGGGTGCTCAGGAACACGGCTGAGGAAGAGGAGCAGGGGTGGTGAGAGGAGGCTGCAACTCGCGAACTCACGGTGGGTGGGAAGTGTGACTCGGGCTCTGTTACACCTGGCAGGTGGCTTGGGTTTGGCGGGAGGACCCCTGGTCCAAGGACCCAGAGCCCTTGGTCTCTCAATATCTTAAACTCCTCACCATCTTTTTAAATTTTTCTTTATTATGTTGATATAGATTGTTATTGTTGCCGTGTGTCATGAAATCAGTTCCAGCTCCCAGCAGTCGGCTAGGACAGAGCTGAACGCACAGTAGGAATTTCTTGTCTATTCTCTGTAGAAGGTGACCAGATCTTCTGGGGAGTCACCGTGGTTTCCATTCGAACCCACCATGGCTTAACCACCAGGGCTTCAGGTGAAACATAGGCAGCATAAATTTGACATTGTAAAGGGAAGCCCTAGGGCACAGTGGGGTAAGTGCTCAGCTGCTGAGAGGTTGATGGTTCAAATCCATCAGCTGATAGAGAATAAAGGGAGAATAAAGCAGGTTCCTTCCATTAAGATTTACAGCCTTAGAAACCAAATAGGGCTGTTCCGCTCAGCCCTCCAGGGTCACAGTGAGTAAAAGAGCAACTTTGTGGCTTTGGGTTTCAAACCATTTTAAGTGCATTATTTATATTCATGTTGTTGTTGTGTGTCTTCGAGTCAGAACTGAGTCAGAGCTGACCCTCCAGCAGGTTTTCAGAGGCAGCAGATCACATGGGACGAGACTGTCGAACTTCCTCCCGTGGAGGAGGAACTGGTGGATTCGAACCATTGCTCCCTCCGTCCCGAAGACAGGCAGTTTGAATCCACCAGCCGGGCCGTCTCCTCCCACACAGTTAACTGCCTCTGAAACCCTGCGGGAGAGTCAGCTATGGGTTGCTTCCGACTTGATGGTAAACAACAACAATTATATTCATAGTGGTGTGCAATTCTCACCATTGGTTCCAAAATTTTCCTTCCCCCTAAACAGAAATTCTGTGTCCACTTTACTAATCTTTTTCAGCAGGAGCTTGGCTAGTTGCAGTGGTTAAAAGTACCCACCTGCTTAGCCAAAAGGGGTGTGGCCCGAATGCACTAGAATGCGCCCAGGAGGCAGAAGAGAGAGACATTCTGCTGGAGCAGAGGTTACCGGCTGGGGCAGCTCAGTGGGGCGGCCCGACCCTGTCCCCCAGGGTAGCTCTGAATTGCAGCTGACTGGATAGCATTGGGAGGGGGGGTTGGTTGTCATTTCTGAAGTTTTCAGAATGACTTTGGATCAATGCCGTCCGTGCTATTGAACCAACCACCTTATGGGGTTGCTGTGAGGATACAGATAGGACGCTTTGAAGAGGAGCTTCATGGGGCTCAGGTGGCAAGGTGGTTAAAAGATTGACTGCTAGCTCAGAGGTCAGTGGTTCAAACCCACCAGCTGCTCTGAGGGAGAAAGAGGAGGCATTTTGCTTCTGAATTAACTTCTTCTTGTTGTTGTTATGTGCCATCGAGTCGCTTGCGACTCATAGTGACCCTATGTACAACAGCCCTAAACTCTGCTCTGTCCTGTGCCAATCGCACTGTCTCTGACACTCCCATCCCGATTATCCCAGTCACTGAATCAATCCACCTCATAGAGGGCCTTCCCCTCCTGCGCCGTCCCTCCACCCTCCCAAGCATGATGTCCTTCTTCAAGAGGGTTGGAAACCCTTTGGGGCAGGTCCGCTCTGCCCTACAAGGTGCTTGTGAGTAGAAATTAACTCAAACAAAGGCAATGAGCTTTGGGGGAGCATTTCGAAGGGTGTCTGACATACAGGAAGTGCTCAGTGAAGGTTAGCTATGGGGTGTGTGTGTGGGGTGTGTGTGTGTGTGTGTGTATCCCAGGGAGGGAGGGAGCTGTGAAGATCAAATATGGCATTCTCTATCAAAGATCTACCATAACACCTTGCACACGGCCAGAGCTCAGCCAGCAGGATTGTTAGGACCCAGGTCTCACTCACAAAACAGACTAGTGTGAGATCCAAAGTGGTGAGCCCAGTCCAGCCAACGTTACAGCCGGGACGGGGTGGGGTGGGGGAGATGTCTGCCCAGCCCTGCCTCCTGCCTCCTGCCCCTTGGCCCAGTGCTCTCTCCCTGCCTCCTCAGCCTCAACTGGGACAGAAAGAGTGGTGACTAATGCACTCCACCCCTTTCCTTCTCGGTCACAGAGCAGGGGCTGTGCAGCTGCTCAGGGCGGCCCGGTTGGGCTGTGTGTGTGCGTTTGCCATACCGAGTGGCTGGCCTGGGCATCTCAGGGAGGAAGAACTTAGGTTCCCGGCCTGGCTCCCTGGTTTCCTGTACTGTACTTACTTTCCAGGCTGCTGGAGTGTGACCCAGAATGTGGACTCAACCCTACCACTTCCTGCTCTCTGACAAAACCTCAGTTTTTCTCATCTGTGAAGTGGGATTGGGGAAGGTGCTTCCAGCAATAGAAAGTGTTACTATATAGAAAACTCCAGGTGCACAGTAGATCCACTGTGGTGGAAAGAATTCCCATTCCCAGCAACCTTCCCCTGGTTTTGGAGGCTCTTAAGTCTTTATGGGAGAGGACTGCCCATCTTTCTTCCCTCAGAGCGGCTAGTGGATTAGAACTGTTCACCTCTTGGTTCACAGCGCAGCACGTCATAATGCACTACTCCACCAGGGCTCAAAATACATGCTAGTTGTTAGTCCCTCAGAGGGACCTTGTGAAGTCATTTACCTGCCCATTTCACAGACAAGTAAACAGAGACCGAAAAGGGAGTGGGCAGCTGCCCAGAGACTCATCCACACAGAGAGACCGAGTGGCTGCTTAGAAGTCCCTCTTGTCAAGGTTTCTAGAAGCTTCAAGAGGAGTTTACCAGAAAATAGAGGCATCGTGATAGCTTGGAGACTGGCCCACATGTCACCCTTATAGCCCTTCAGCGCCCACCCAGCAAATCTGTGGCCAGCCCCACCCTGGTGGGTCTTCGAGGGTCACCCTTTGCCTGTGGAAAGCAAAGCTGAGCTCCCTCCCCAGCGTGCTGAAATTCCGGCTCACACCTTCCCTTTCTCTGCCTGGGGGTCCCCTCTGCACCCTGAAGCCAGCAGATACTGAGGTGCTTGGGGGGTTGCGGATCTCGCTCACCACTGAGGAGGAGCCAGCTGTACCCGGTGGCCGCCATCTTTCACCCCAAACTCGGGTCTGGAGTGGCTCTGCGTCCGGCTGTTCTGAGGCCCTTCCTGGCTGGGGGCTCGGCTCCGTCTGGCGTGGGACCTGAGAGGGTTCGGTGATTTGGAGCTGGAAGAGATCACCTGAATTTGGAGGGATCGAGTCACCAAGGATCTGGGGCCCCGTTTGGGTACCAGGACGGGTGTGGCAGGCACGGGCCAGGGGGCACGACCTGGCCAGGCCTCCTGGGGCGGCTGCCTAACCCACTTTGTGCCGAGGGCCCAGATTTGGTACCAGGAAAAGAACCAGGTTGGCAGGGGCAAAGAAGGTGGGGCGGGGAAGACTCCAGGGCAGCTCTTAGCCCTGGCCAGACCCTGGCATCACCAGTGAGCTTGAGGGTCAGCTGGGAATCACATCCGTGGACAGTGCCTATGTGTTCCCACCTCAAGGCTGCAGGTGACCTATGGCTGTCATTTCAGTGCATGTCAAAAACGGTCTTAGGAGATGGGCCTTGGTTGCTCCTTATTTGCAGACCAGGAAACTGAGGCACTAGCCTAAGAGAAAGGGGCCTTGAACCCTGCTCCGTTTCCAGATCCAGCCCAGTCTCCTTCTCCTGAGTGAGAGGGAGCTGGGATGCTCCATGTTCGGCTTCTTGGTTTGGCCCCGTGGAGAGACTTGCCTTCCCTCCTGCCCTCCCGAGGCCTCTCTCTTCTTGTCTATCAAATGGGTGTATGTGGAGGCTTTGAGCTCAGGGAGATCGGAGTTCCCACTTTGACTCTGCAGTGACCCGTTGTGGGGATGGGGTTGAAGACAGCCCCTTGCTGAGTCTCCATTTATCACCTTGCAAAATGGAGTTGGTGCACCCTTCCAACCAGAACAAAATTCATCCCCTGTGGCTCAACTTTTAGACAAAAAAATGGACCACTTTGTAAGGCAAACAGTAACACCAGTAACTCGGGCCTTAGAATCACCCACTGTGTCAAGATCAAAAAGGCAGCATTTGCCTGGGAATAAAATGCAGAGGGTGAGAAGGCTGGATGGAGGAGTGGAAAGGAGAAGCACAGGGAGGGAGCAGGAAGAGTGCAGTTATTGTGGGTATTATAGTATCATAAAACAAAATGTGCATGAGTAGTTGAATGGGAAACCGATCAGCTTTGTAAACTTTCTCTCAAATCACAATGGGACAAAGGCGGGCAGTGGAGGGGGGTGGTTGGAGATGGTATACAGGTAATGAGGCAATCAGGAGTTGTTTTTAGGAGTTAGGAATTTAGCCAGGACATGACAGAACTGGGCCCCAAGCCTGGGATCTGCCTGGTGTTGCTAATATTAGAAATGCAAGTATTGCATGTCCTTCCACCATCCTGGGCAAGTTGCGGAAACCACTGAGCCTCTATTTCCACATCTGGAAGATGGGGATGCCGCTAGTACCCACTTTATAAAGCTGCTGTAAGGCTTATTGGTGTTAGGTGTCCCCCCACAATCCTGCATCTCCCTTACAGCCTGCTGTGCGTCAGCCCGTTTTTGCCACCACGGTGTCCATCTCATCGAGGGTTGTCTTCTTTTTTTTTGACGACCCTTGAATCCACCAGACTTGCTGTCCTTCTTCAGCGACTGGCCCCTCCTGAGAAACACAGCCAGGGTACATGAGATGAAGTTGTGATGTATCAAATGCATGAATGTATACCGTGGATACGGAATAAATCATTCATTCATTTCACAAATATTATTAAGCACCTAATTGCTTGTCTCCACAATCAACCCTCTTGGTACCAGCAGCCAGGACAGTAAAAGACGAATTGTATTGGGAAAGTCTGCTATCAGAGACCTCGCCAGAATACTGAAGAGCAACGGAGTCAGTCTGGAGACTAAGGTGCACCTGATCCAGGCCATAGTCTCAATTGTTATGAGTCAGAAAGCTGGACAGTGACTAGGGATGAAAGAAAGAGAACTGATGCCTTTGAGCTGTAGTACGGGAGAAGAGTATTGAACATACCGTGGACTGCTAGGAGAACAAACAGATTCATCCTAGAGAAAGAAGGTGAAACCAGGCTGCTCCTTGGAGGCAAGGATTCTGCAGCTTTGTCTGATACACTTTGGGCAAGTTGCAAGGAGGGACCAGTCTTTGGAGAGGGACATCATGCTTGGGAGGGTGGAGGGACAGCACAGGAGAGGAAGACCCTCTTTGAGGTGGACTGGTTCAGTGACTGGGGTAATGGGGTAGTTGTGTCAGAGACAGAAAGGTTGGCACAGGATAGAGCAGGGTTCAGAGGTGTTGTATGTAGGGTTGCTAGGAGTCGGAAGTGACTCACCAGCCCATAACAACAACAACCACGTGTGCCGTCCCAGGCACTGCAAAGCACTGGACGTGTATCTACTCCTGTAGTCCGTGAATGAAGGCACGTGGGCAGCCTCGTGGTTTAGTTGCATTGCAAGCTCAAAGGCGTGCGGTTGAAAAGAAGGACAGTCTCCTCTCATGCAATTTAAGGCCTCTGAAAACCAGCTGGAGATTCAGCTCTGAGGGGGTTATGACTCAACGCCACGTGATAACAACAAGAGTCCTTACTACAGCTCTCTGAGGTGGATACTATTAAAATCCCACTGCACGGGGGTCCATCCCAACTCACAGCCAGCCTGCAGGACAGAGCTGGACTGCTCTGTAGGGTTCCCACAGCTGTAAATCTTTATGAAAGCAGACTGCCTCATCGTTTCCCCTCAGAACTCCAGGTGGATTTGAACCGCTGACCTTCAGGTTAGCCCCACAGTGTTTTAGCCAGCACACCAAAAGGTGTCCTTAGGTAGTGCTGTTGTGGTTGTGTGCTTTCAAGTTGGAACCAAGTCATAGCTGACCCTCCAGGGGTTTTTTTAGAGGCTGTAAATCACACAGGAGGAGATTGCCTGTCTTTCTCCTGTGGAGCAACTGGTGGATTTGAACCACCTGTCTTTGGGTTGGCAGTGCATCTCCTTACGCACTAGCCCACCAGAGCTCCCTTGGGTACTGTTAGCACCCCCACTTTGCAGATGAGAAAACCAAGGCCCAGTGACCTCCATAACTTGCCCAGGATCACGGAGGTAGGGAGCAGCGCTGGGGATCCAGCCCTGTTCAAAGCAGACAAAATTCCTGCCCCTGGGGGTGACATTAGGGAGGTAAACAAAACACAGTCCATGTCAGATAGAGATCAGTGTTGTGGGGAAAATAAGTAAAGTCAGAATTCTTTCCCCCCTTGGATTTCTGATTGGAGGAGGCTCTGGAAAAGGTAATGCCGGCCAGGGCCATGGGCAGGTGGACGGAGGGGAGCAGGCCATGACCGGTGTGTTGTTATTATTGACAGCTCTCTCCCCAGCATCTAGTCCTGGTGCTTCTGGGCAGGGGGCCATACCTGTGGCTCACCTGTCCTGGTTTTCTCTGGGCTCCGTGTCCTGGGCTGCCCTCGGAGGGCAGGGCTCTGAGGAGGTGAGGGGAGAAGAGGGAAGAAGCAGGTGGGAAGGAGCAGGTGAGGCCAGGTGACCTGGCGCCTCCTGCTCTCCCTGCTGCGACCTCACCTCACCTTGTCTGTCCTGTCCCAGCTCTGTCCCCTGAGTCCTGAGACGCTGTCCCGGATGATGCCTCCCGTATGTCCCTGGTTACCTCTCGCTCACCTCGTCCCAAACTGACCTCTGCAGCTTCCCATCGGCCTGTTCTTCCTCCTGCTCTTTGAGCCAGGGAAGGTGCCCTCCTGTACCCAAGGCAGAGCACCCTGGGCCTCATCCCTCGTGCCCTGGCCACTTCTTCCCCTCCCGCCACAGCCCCTGGATCCTGAATAACTCCCCTTACCTTCTGGTCGAGTCCTGGCTGTCCCTGGTCCCCACTTCCTGGGCTCTGGGCTCTGACCCCCCTCCCATCCTCTTTTTTTTTGTTTTTTATTATGTTACCATTGAATTTATTCTAATATGTTGTTGTTGTTGTTGTTGTTAAGTGCCATCGAGTCATAGGCAACTCATAGCAACCCTATGAACAAAAGTCCCAGAACCTGTATAACTTTCGTCCTTTCTCCAAGTTCATAGGGTTTCCAGAGGCCAACTATTGTGGAAGTGGATGCCACTCCTGCTTCCAAGCTTGTTTTAATCGGGGAGCTCCACCAAACACTGTCCACCATGGGTAACCATTCTCGCATTTGACTCATCAGTGTCACAGTGTTTGGCTTCACAGCAACCACGAGTTACCTCTGTACAACTAGTGGACAGACCAGGGTTACACGACCTAGAAGAATGTTTCACCAAAAGCAATTAAAGGCAGGCCCCAGGGCCACGGACTAGAGCCACCCACCTTTGGCTTGGGAGCATGACTTTCTGTCCACTAGGTCAACTGCTCTCTGTCTATGCTGTTGTTGTTGTTGTTGTTAAGTGCTGTCAAATCGTAGGCAACTCATAGCGACCCTATGAACGGAAGTCCCAGATACCTGTATAACTTTCATCCTTTCTCCAGGTTCATAGGGTTTCCAGAGGCAAGCAATTATGGAAGTGGATGCCCTTCCTGCTTCCAAGCTTGTTTTATTCTGATATATAGTATTAAAAAGAAAAAAATCATTAATAATTTGTTGTTGTTAAGTGCTGTTGAGTCACAGGTGACTCATAGCGACCCTATGAAGGAGAGCCCTTGGCGCTTGGTTGCCTTTCATCCTCTCTCCAGGTCCATAGGGTTTCCGGAGGCAAGATATTATGGAAGTGGATGCCACTCCTCCTTCCACGCTTGTTTTAATCGGGGAGCTCCATGTCACTCTCTGTAATGTATTATACCAATCATTAATAATAGGAAAATAAAAACTGACCCACAGATGAGATGGTTACTTGTCTTACCAGATATCAAGACTTAACAATAAGATTAGTATTGATCTTACTAATATTGTAGCTTTTCCAGCCTTTTTTTGATACAATGGGTGTGGAGTGTGGATCCAAGTAAGATGAAATCGTTGGCGGTTTCAGTGTTTTCTTCATCTGTCACGATGAGGATTTGCACAGCCTCTGAAGCCTGCAGGG